GACCATTGAACAAAAGCAACTGCAAAGTATTGCAGCCGTGCCCCCATGCCAGTGGGACGTTGGGTGTTATTGCAGAATTTGGGCATCGGCCTAAGTACTTTTGAGCCTCGAAAGCGACAATGCGAAGTCAAGCCGCTTGCGTTGTACGGAATTGCCGTCGCATGCTTGGCCGCGACGCCCTTGCCGGGCGTGAACTGCGCGTCTCGTCCCGGCGTCAGGTTATCACCAAGTGGGGTGTCGGCTTCCCAGTGGGCGAGTCGATCGATGGCTCTAGTTGTGCGCCCCTCCAGGTTAAAGTCACAGCTTCACTAGTGAGGTCACTACCCTCCCCCAGGCGATTCCATGCAAGCTCCCAGGACCGCTTTGGCAGACTTGGTTGCATGTACAGAGGCCCTCTGGGAGCTTCCATGTGAGTCTACTTTCCCATTGACTTCACAATTGCCACACTATGACACTGCTCAGGCGGGCCCTGTTTTGACCTGTTTTGTGGTTGCATTTGCTTTGGGGCCTGGGGGCTAGGAAGTATGTGAACAGCGCAAGTTGCAAAGCAGGATACTTTCACATGTAGAAGTGTTGAGTCACGGATCTCACTTTGTGCCTGGCTACAACTACAAGGCAACGGTGCCGTGGCTCAGTTGAACACTTTTTGCAGAGGGGTCGTTACCGCTACCAAGGGATTTGTGCCTAAACACGCTGTGCAGCTTGGCATGCGGTGCCGTGCAACGCATGTCAAACACACATGTGGAGTGTTTGTTACGCTGCCGCGAAGGTGCTATATTAGGTGGCTTAATGATCATGGTCCTCTCGAACCTGCTGCAACGCGCATATGCATCGATTTTTGCAAGACACTTGTTGGCTGACAGTAGTTTGTTGACTCAGGTCGTAACTCCCGCCACGCCAGGCGACTATTCTGACAGCTCCAAGCTTGCTCTTATGTTATTCACTCCTCCGAAAACAAATTTGGAGCTCCAAAAACGGTGCGACTCGGCTGAATGCGCACTGAGCATCTTTGGTCTCTAAGGTCATTACTGGGAAGCTCCTCTTCTTTCGAGTGCTGACGCTCACTACCATGAGCAGCCGCTGGGTTGAAGTTGGTTGCCGGGGGGATTGTTCGGATCAAGTAGTGCCGTTTTACCCTATTTTGGGGGAGGGTTCCTTTACTAAAACAGATTGCAGAAAAGAGGGTACCCTTATTCTAACCTCTCTACTGGAGAACCTAGGTTTTCCAAGCTTGGGCAATCTTTCGTCACCCCAAAAGGTGATCACCTTTTAGCTCCAGGTCAGGGGCAACTTTTGGGAACCCGGCCAAGGCCCTGACTCCCCGGTCCGGTCCAAAGACCCGAAGCCCGAGGTATTTTTGTCATTCGCGCGCAGCAAGCGCGGGTCGAGAAGTGCCTCGGACGAAGACTTCGGCTTCGGGTACGCGGGGCCACAGCCACACTTGGAACCTGACAGGACTAGGTTCCTCTGAAACGGTCATGTTCAACTTTTACCCCTTCTCGTAGCAAGCCTTTTTTTTTAAATGTTTTTTTCTTGCTGTGCTTTCTAATTAAAAAAAATCCTGGGTCAAGTTCAGTCGGTTGGACGGAGCGCAGACGCACTGTGTGAGAGTCAACCTCAGCCCACGACGGAGAGCCTTGGAGATGGTGGCAATCAATAGAGAAAAAGAAGAGGCATGACGATGATTGCAGCAAACAGCTCATGACCAATTTTCAAACAAGGACAGGCATTGTAGCCGTGACTCGCGCCGGTTTGCCCAAAGATCAGTGCTGTGCCCAGGAATTCTCGAGTGTGGAGGCGTGGGATGGGCCCAGTCGATCGCTTGCTTATGGCTCTCAGCATCTTTGGGATCTCTTTTGAATGTTTTTAACGGTGTAGGGTTCGCCAAACATGGGTCAGAGTCAAACAGCTCAGAACCTCCTTTTAGGACAGGGTGCCGCAGTTGTTGCTCTTAACGTCGTCTTTTTTTGGGGCACCCCTTCCTGCACTTTATGCTTTTTGGGAAGACCATTTTGGTAAATGACAAGTTTGGTTACTTTTTCGCTCCGCTCCACTTCGCGCTCTTCAGCTGCCGCAGCTCCGCATCAAAGTTGAGAGCTCCGGCCGGATTGAATCGGCGGGGGGATCGAAGGGAGGCATTCGCCCTTCAGGCGAATTGAAGGAAGAGCACGGCGAGTGGTGAGCCAGGACCGGGGCGGGCACCGAGTTTTGATTTTTCTTTGGGTTCGGGGTTGTGGGTTGATTTCTTGCGGGGTTTATCCAACCACAACCACTTGGTTGATCACTCGGGGTTTACCCAACCTCTTCTGTGATACAAGCGAATCCCGAATCCCCTCTTTAGATCAAGGGAACCCTCTGATGGGTTAGTCTTTGGGCAGCAACTTTTTGCATCGCAGTGGGCTCCATTTCCCACCGCTTGGCTTGGGCCGTGGAAAAAGCGACATTTGAAGGTCGGAAGGCTAAGAGGTAGTCCCCTTGCCGTAAATGGGCGCGAATGCAGCCGCCTTTTTTGTTCGGAGGGTTGTTTTCTTTTGGGATTGTTCCCCGTTTTTGTTTAGGATTTTTCCTGGATTTTGCCTTACCTGGCTTCTTAGCTTCTTGGCTTTTGGGCCTTTGTCTTCTTGGAGTCTGGGCTTTTTGGCTTTTGGCTTGTTGCTTTTTGGTTTCTTGGCTTTTGGTTTTTTGGCTAGGCTTTTTGGCTTTTCGGCTTCTGGCTGTTTGGCTTTACTTTTTGTGGCCTTTGTGGCTTTGCCTTTCCGCATCCTCAGCCAGTAACACCCCAGCATCACCCCTCCCATGTTTCTGTGGATGGGGGGGCGCCCCCCCCCCCCCCCCCCCCGCTTCTTTGTAGCACCCTAAACCCTTGTTTTGGCCAAAGCCACCCTAAAACAACACTAAACCGCCGCTAAAACCAGAACCAACCTGAAAACCAAACCTAAGCCAACCCTAAAGAAACCCTAAAGTAACCTTACCCCAGGAAGACTCCCTAAAGAACCCCCTAAACAAACCCACTCTAAACCAGCAATAGACTATCCCTAAACCAACTCTAAGCCTACCCGAAACCAACCCTAAACCCCAACCACCCTAAGCCAATCCCGAAACCCACCCTAACCCCACCCAAACCAACCCTAAGTCCGCACTAAACAAGCACAACACAATCTCCAATAAGCCCACCTCAAACCCCCCCCCCCAGCAAACCCTACACCAACCTCAACCCCACACTATAACCCACCCTAGAGCAACCCCAAAACCAATCCCTAACCCCCCGTAAACCAGCACTAAACCCGAACTAAACCCGCTCTAAACCCACCCTACGCCAACCCTTAACAAACCCAAAGCAAACCCAACACCAACCGCCCCCCTGCCTCCCCGCGCCCCCCCGCCCTCAAACAAACCAAACCAACACTAAACCATCCCTAAGCCACCCGCAAACCACCCTAAAGCCCGCCTAAACACAACCACAGCCTAAACCAACTCTATGCTCACCCCAAACCAGCCCTAGACCCACCCTAAACCAACCCCCCAAGCCCACCATAAACCCAGTACCCAAAGCGCAGCCAACCTTGAACCCACCATAAACCCAGCCTAGCAAATACAACTCATGATGCTGAGGATGTTGAAAAGGATGCTACCCACTTAAAGCGATGCTGGGGATGTTGGCAGCGCTGGTGCAAAACGAGTCAAACCACAGCAGAACCAGGGGAGATCGCACCGCTTCCCATTTCCAAGACAGAAAATGCAGGAACAAATCCCAAAACAAAACGGGAAAAAACAATAAAATCGGGACCCCTTTCATTCTTGAAGCCATGGTTCTGGTGATCGCCTACTTTTTGATTCCGATCGGTTTTGAGTATGACTCATTTTGCACTGCAAGATCCCTCCAACAGTGCCTTGGTATGAAGGTGTGGGATTGCTTTTCCCGAACTGTTTGGGCAATCGACGGATGCCTGGGTACGTATTTGCTTTGCGCCCTTAACCCCCTTCCCCCTTTCCTCAGCCCAGAGCCTGAAACTATGAAACACCGGTGGATTTTGTCCACAGAAACCTGGGTTGCTCTCAAGTAGCTGGCCCAACCCTCTGGTTCTTACAGATGACACGGGATATGCTCCATGCACCGTGGCACCAATCTGCTTTGCCGAAGGCATCAGTTCCGCAATCAGGTTTTGTCAGCCACTGTGCACTATCAAGCCACGGCTGGTTCAAGATGGCATTGGGCCTTTCCAGATCCCTTTTGAAGCTGGGTTCTCCAGCAATTTGCGACGAACCCATGCGTGGCCGCGTTTTAGACAAGGTTTTCCCAACCCCCAAAATGGCTGTTTCTGTTTTGGCTTCCCTGAGAGGTTTCCATAAGCGGAAACGCAACTAAGAACAGTTTCACCCTAGACTCTATGACAAGATGTGGTATTGAAGCACGCCACAACCCCGTTCCGGTCCTTTAGGCCTTCATTTTGCCTTCAAGAAGACATTCCCCCGTGTCTCTTGTCGTGGAGGCTGCGCAGCTGGCGGCCCGAGTCATCGAGGAGCCTGTGGACATGTATCACCACGAGTGGCGGTGCACAGAAGGCGGTGAAAAAACCAACCGGAAGGGCATGAAAGGGCGCGGGGCCTTTGGTTGGGGCTGGAAACCCCAAAAGTATCGCTTCGGTATGTTCAGCCCAGACTCGCCAACCAGAATTCTGAAGCATCTGAAGATTCAAAACTTCGCGTTTTTGGATGTTCTGGTCGGGAGTTGCCGGGGCAGGGGGTGGGAATTGGTGCCTTGCTCGCTTGGCCATGGAGCCGAGGATTGTTTGGTGCGTTGCTTTTGGGGAGAGGGGGAAGATGCTGGCCCCTCTACTTCCTCCAAAAAAGACAGACCAACCGGGAGCCCTTGTTCAGCGATTTCACCAGTTGCTTGGCCTCGCTTGCCTCACTTGGCCTTTACTTCGTCGCACCGCACCTCGCGCTGAACCTGCGACTCAGCTGCCACGGGTTCACGGAGTAGCTGGAAAGGTGGCGCCATGGCTGTCTGGCAAATGCAGATGAAGCAGAACTGGCAGGGCAAAGGCGGCAACCAGCCGGAACGGGTGTTAGGGAGTGGATTGGGGGGCCCGAAGCCACCCATGGGAAACAGCAATTCAGGGTCGCATGAAGTTCTTTTGTTTGCTGTACTGCGACTTTGGCAAGCAAGGCAAGGGTGGCATGATGGGCGGCATGGGCATGACCACCCACAACCCTGCCAAGTACAAGACGCAGCTCTGCATGCACTGGATGCAGGGCACGTGCACCAGGGCGGCCTCCTGCACATTTGCTCATGGGGAGCACGAGATGCAGGGAGGTTTCAGCCAGAAAGGGCAGGGCAAGACCAGCTACAATGGGAACAGCCACTCGTCTCAGCTGGCAAAGCGTTCCGCTTTAGAACATTTGGCATCTTTTTGGCGGACCTCAAATAAATATAAATAAATAAATGAACGAATAAATATATATATATATATATATACCTGCTGCCCTAAAAACTGTTGAATTTGATCGATTTTCAGGAAAATGATTGTTTTGCCTTCTTGGTGTTGAAATTTCAACACTGGTGCTACAAAAACCGTTCGGGCTTGCGGAGCAGACCGAACCTTATGTTGCTGATGTCGCTTGCTGGGAATCCATCGATTGCGTTATTTTTGCATAATCCGTTGCATGTTGACGTTCTTTTTGCGTCATGACATGGGCCGTGCCTAGGATTTGGTGTTGGAAATACCGTTCGTAAAGCGTTCAAAACCCGTTCAAAACCCGTTCGCAAACCGTTCGCGAACCGTTCGCATGTCGTACATTTTACGTAAAACTAAAAATGTGTGTTGCGAAATCACCTTGGTGTTCTAAAAGCCGTTCTGGTGCTAAAAAACCCGATCTGGTGCTCAAATTTTCGGAAAAACATCATTTTTCCAAGTGGTGCTGAAAAAAGAGCATTTTAGGGGCCTCAGGTATATATACACATATAGGGTGGGAAAATAAGCTGCCTGTTTGAACCTCCTTTTGGGGCTCCACGGATCCAGGCTACAACAGCGGGACTTCCTATGGCCACGCTCCCAAAGGCCTTTCCAAGAGCGCCCCGAAGGGCATCATGGCCTCCGCGAAGGGGACCATGCGAGCCACGGGCCCCGTTCCCGTGGGCAAAACGGGCGGCAAGGGAAAGGTGAACCCCATGTCGATGATGAAGGGCTTCATGAGCCCCAGCTGAGTCGGATTTCGCTTTTTTCGTCTTTTTTTTTCTTCGGTCTTCGCCTTGAAGCGCTTCCACGCGCTGTCAGTTCAAAACCGCGGAGGTTGCCACGCCTTTTGAGTTGCCACTTGGGCAACTGCAGGGGTCCCTCAAGTTCCATTTGGTTGGACCTCCAACAGTGGCAGTTTCAGTCACACTGCAACTTTTAAGAGGGAAATCCAGTGACCCCTGAACTAAGGAAGGGCAAGGGCAAGGGCAAGGGCGGCTTGGCCAAAGAGACCATCTCGCGCAGCAGATCGGTTTGCTCAGATGGCAGATCGGTCTTTTGCCCGGTCCCGCATCCCCAACCTTTCTTATTTTTGGGCAACCACTTCAAGTTTTACTTCTGCCCCTGTTCGGTCCAAGTCACTGTGAAACCATTGTCTGCCTGCCCCACATTGGATTAGATTTGGGTGGTTTGCGTTATACGGAGAATTCGATCAGAAATGAGGGATGTCTTTTTTGGGTGATTCCTGGTTCTTTCCCTGAAGGGGTTGTATTCCTTCCCCGGAACAAAGACAAGACCGTCGTTAAGCAGCCTCAACCCATTTGCTGAATGAACCCCTAGCAAGATCCTCGCCCTTTGGCCTCACAAACATGTTGGATCATTTCGGTAAGGCCTTCTTAAATGCGCTTCTCTCAAAACAGGGGACCCCATTTTGGATGGGGTTTGAAGGGAAACCACAAGGACACCACCTTGGAGGAATTTTGAGAAGCACCTGATCAATTGCGCGAGTAAGCAAATGTCAGTGTCAGAGTTGGAACGCGGACTTGCCTGCAAGTTGCTAACTTAATGCGGTCAGTGAATAGAATGTCGGGCAAATCCCGTTAGGAGGGCTGACTCTTTTGAAGTGACCTTGCGCACCTTCAGCAAAACATAGCAAAACGGACATTGCCAGACTTGACTCTGACTCGGTTGCCTTTTGAAGCTTCTTTGCCCTCAGTTTCCTTCATTCTACTCAGCAGGGATGGATGAACCTCCGTCAAAAACTGGGAGGAGCCACCCACCCACACCAGGACACAAGGTGCGCCACCGCCCAACCGCCTAAGGCACCAAGGGTGCTGGACACAAGTTGCCGCGGACACGAATCTCGGAGATCCCGGTGCTGGGAGAAGTGGTGGAGTGGAAAGGCGCGAGGAGGGAGGGATTGGGGGATGGCGGGGGGGGGGGGGGGGATGATTGGCCGGAGTTTTGTTGCAAGAGTTCTACTTTCAAAGGGCAGTTTGTGATACATCGGAAAAGAGCCTCATGATATACTGCAGTAAAGGGGATGGGAATCCCGCTTTGGTATGACAGGGTTATGGTGCGGGCGTTAGGCCAGTCCCATGAGTCCGTCAAGTCACCCCTTGGGACTGGTCACTTGCCTGATTGGACTTTAATCAGTACACGCTGCAGAAGGGCGAAAACTAATAGGGGTTCCTGCTTTGAGCGCTTTAGGTCGTGTTGCTCAGATCTATTGGGCTGATATGTCCTTACTTTGTCGTTCAGCCTCGGGCACTACATTTCAGCCGAGGATCAGGTGACATTCAAGATGTTTGGATCATAGGTGGCTCGTTTGGTTCGAAATAGATTGCGTTTACCAGGGCCACTGATTTTTCCAAAAGGTCACCTATGGTTGGGATGCTTTGGAGGGTGCCCAATGCTTGTGCAGCGTGCAGGCAAGTACGGTTGGATCCAGCCGTCGGAGGTCATAGAACACGAGAAGGCGCTGCTCTGGGGGAGAAAGTCTCACTGCCTGAGTTTCATTGAGTTCCCGGACTTTATACTTTTTGGCAAAGTCCATGTCAGTGGTAAACAACAAGTTTCGACCACTTTCTGGCCAATCCACTCAATAAGCTCTCGCTTTGGAGCATTGGCCTTGGGAGCCTTGACTCGGAAGCAAAAGAAACCATGCACATCTGACAGGATACTTCGTAGCACACGAGCTCCCGAACCGTCGCTCGCTTCGCTCGGCCACGCACCTGATGCCCCCTTGTTTGGCTGAGCTGCCTCCTTGTTCTGAATTCCCCCCTTGTCCCGAAAAGTGGGGGCTGTTTGGGGTTGGTCTTTTCCCACTTCTCATGGGTGTCTCGCTTTTTGAGTTGCGACCCCCTGTTTAGCTGGCTTTACAGGGGAAAAAACCGCCAGGAGAACCACCCCCCCCCCCCCCCACCACCACACCCCAAACACCCCCCCCCCCCGCCCCGCCCCTCAACACCCTGCCCCCCCAAAAAAAAGAAGCAAACATACATTAAAAGACGGCGGTTCCCGCCTCGTGACCCTTCAGCCTTTGGGGTAACTCAGGCGCACCTCCGGAACGGCAAGATCTTCGTGAGTCTCGAGGACCTCGTAGGCATCGAGGCCCTTCGGGGGCCGTCTCAGCGCGTGGAGGGGGCGAAGGGAGTGGGGCGGCTGCGGCGGTGCATGGCTTCCTCGCTTCGCGGAATGCCGGCCATTTAGCGAAAAGGAGTCGACTTATTTGGAGGTCTCCCCAAAGTATTTGACACAATCTAGGCCACATATGAGTATGGCTCAAGAGAAAAACCACCAGGATATGGACAGCAGGCTTCAGTGCATGTTTCCACTCACCACAGTCCAATTGGGGTTCCCTATTTTTGACCCACAGCCATATGGCAGATCAGCACGGGATCAAGCGAAGGTCTCCTTTGGCTCGAATTTTTAGAGGACTGTTTGGGGTCAGCCGCCTGGCATACCAGATCAAGCACTTTCGCTCAGCGAGATGACCTCATCACCCCAGTGGACAGGCAGATGGAGGCATACTCCCCAAATGGTTGGTCGACATCAACCCCATTGTGCCATGTGAGATGATGTCCACTGGGTCCCGAGTATAAAAATCAGACAAGCCCATTTGCCTGCCAGCAAGCCGGTTCAACTGTGCTGAGGCCCGCTTGTTTTTCAACTTTGGCAGGAACTGAGCCCGGGCCGGGTAGTCCAGTTCCAGCTCTTTTCAGATGCGTCTGGCCTGGGTGCAGAGGACGGGGCTTTGGAACTTGACAGGGTTTTCTCTCATTTGCCGAGGTGAATGTGTCTTTTTTTCCCCTTGTTTGTTTCGAAGGGAATCTAGCACTACTGGAAATATGAACTTATTTTCTCCAGGGGGCTTAAGCAAACGGAGGTTTCAGGCTTCTCAGCCCCAGAGGGAGATCAAACAGCCTCACCTATGAGCAGGAACGTGTATTCAGGGACTAGCCTGTTATTTTTCGCTTGTGAGGGGGCCAAGGGGTTGTGTGGCCCTTCAGCTTATTGATGCATCCGTGTTACACTTGTAAGCAAGGCTAAGCAGTTGCATCAGCGCCCCTTCCAAACCTGCAGAGATCCATTCCCAGTTTCCCAATAGTGCACCTGCCCACCCTCTTACCAATCCAATGCGCCAATGGCAAGTTGATCCTTGCAGTCATAGGCGTCCTTTTTGGTTGATTTGGGTTGAAAAATGCAGCGCGATTCCTGGTTTTACCTGGTGGTTCAATCAACTACCAGGGCCATCTATGTTCCCAAGAAGGACACCTATGTTTGCAGTGAAACACTTGAAGCCGTTTGTTGAACTCACTTGCCCAAAGCCAAGCTTTTGACCCTTTGGTTTTCCCTTTTTGGTACATGATTAGTAACGGTCCCAAAAAGGTGATCACCTGTTATTGCTGGGTCCCATCCGGGGCAAGTGAGTGAAGCTTCCAGGAGTGCATGCAAGCCTAGTGAGCGCAGCCACCGTTTTTTTCTCCGTCGAAGAGCACCGGGCCAACTGGCCGACTGGCCGACTGGCCTCGGCTCCCAGCTATGGCTTGAAGCGACCGCAAACCAAGATGGAGCCCGCTTGGGTTGGGCTGAGGTGTTGTGCTTTTGCGCAGGCGTGGGAGCCGATGAAGTTTTGGTGAGTCAGGGTGGTACTGACTCGAGCGGTGTCACCAGCCAGGTCCCAGGTTTGGCTCGCGGCCAAACTGGCATTTGGCGTCCAGAGTCATTCCTATTGCACGCCTGGCGTTGCGAGCTCCCCTCTTTAGATTTGCAAAAGGACTGCCCTCATGTGGGCTCATGCTGCCGTCAGCGTGGCTTTTTGTTGCGTTTGTTCCTCGTCGATGTTCCTACAAAGGCACGAGGCAATCACGTGTAAGAATCATGTTGCAACCATGGCGGTGGTTGTTTGCAAGTAGGAGTGTCTTACTTTCCAGTTCTGCTTGACTCAAAAGGCCTCATTCAACGCCAAGCACAAGTCCCAAGCTCTTGATGTTCCAGCAGCTTAGCCCATTGGGAGGTCAACCTTGTCCTTGGCGCATCTCTTGGCCTCTTGGGACTGGCCCTTTCGAAATTGCAGGATTTCCACTGCATCCACTTGTTTTGGCGCTTTCAAGGACGCCTATTCTCATTGGTCAATGCGGAGTTGCCAGGTCTTCATTTCGCCGAGTTGCCCACGCACTTGGGCGGTCTTGCTGATTTTTTTTTGCATATGGACCTGGAAAGCAGATTCATTTCGCACACAGCTTGTTTCCCCCAAAGCCTGCGGCACCAAGAGATGTAGCCCAGCTTTTGCACCTCTGATTCTTCCGGACCCGCTCCAATGCATTCAAGAGCTGCAGCACTTTTCGCTTTGCACTTCGATACGGGCTTGCTCCTGCCTCAGGCATCTTCCTCCTTTTCCTCAGTGGGTTCAGCTTGAAAGTGGTCAGGGCTCCAAGCAGAGGGGGCTCGCACAGCCAGAGTCGGCTGAGGCATATTGGTGACAGGCTTCCAGCCGAAGTTTTCTGTCATGTAGTCTGAATGTGCGTGGGCGAGGCAAGCGTCCTGCAAGATGGGGCCCGGTTGAAAAACGCAATGTGTCCAGGTAGCGGAAGCGCCCTCCCTCCAACCCTGGACTGCAAGCACAGCGCGCTTGAAGATGTGAATTTGGGGTGGAGTGGAGGGCTGGCAGCATATTGGTGAGAGGCCGCGGACGTGAGGAAGTTGCGCGGCGAGGGCGGAAAAGCGAGTCATGTCACGCTGCAGCGGCCTGTGGGGCAAAAGAGAGGAGTAGTAGTCCAGCTACCTAGTAATTATGGTCAACGTTGGTAATTCATCGGGGGAACTGGCTTACCTTCTGGCAGTTTATGTAGGGCTTGAGCCGACGATAGGTCCTGGAAAGTGCTCCCTTTCAGCAACAAGTCTTTCTGCGGAGCTTTTGGGAGGTTTCCAATTGGGCCTTGGCCCGAGCAATCCAAAGTTTGTTTCGTCTCGGTGTGTGGCAATTCTTGCATTTTCCAGGGGCCCTAATGTTAACCCCGGATGAATAAACCCTGGTTGATTGATAGGGTGTCCCCTTTTGGTGGGGATTCAGACCACTTTTGGAGGGAACACCCCCCTAAGAATGGGACGGGTTCTACTTAGATCCTGAATCCTGGGTCAACATTATTCATCGAGTTGCTGTAGCATCCATTTCCGAAACGCCGAAGCTGTTCTCGCTTTGGAGGTGGCGCGCTCTCAGAGCTGTTCACCTCAGAGTACGTGGACACCTTGCCCAGAACCTCAGGGGACGTCGGGAGCACTCGGGCGGAGCAGTCATCCAAAAGAGTGTTTTCTTTGGTTGCTGTTTCTTCCCTTTTCTATTCTACATGAACGCCAAGAGCCATGATCTTACCAATCTTTGGGATATGTACTTGTTTGTTCATGGGCAGTCGTGCTTGGAAGGGGCTGAAGTGGAGACGGAGGCCCCTTGTTCAGAAGCACGGAGGGAAAATGAGCTGACTTTTCCCACACCCTGGTAGCATCGAGCAAAGAAACTCGCTTTTTGAGGGGGCACTTCTTTATTTGCCAAAGGAACACTTTGGCACACGATGTTGGGATCAGGGGATGTGAAGCTTGCACTTTGCCTTGAGCTCAGTTCTTCAGATCGAATCGACCTTTTGACCTTTTGGTTTTCCCTTTTTGGTCTATTTGTAGGAGGTCCCAAAAGGTTAACCTTGTATTTCCAGGTTTGGGCAAGTGAGTGAGATCATGAGGGCCCTTCTGATTAGGATGCACTTTTCTACTGGTTGATTCCCCATTCTTTCCAACCATCGTTCTTTTCGAAAGCCGACTGTTTCCCTCAGTTTCCGGAGGGTTTCTAGAAAGAAGGATCCCTGGAAAGAATGGGGAAGGCACCCCATAGAAGGGCGCACTTTCGCTTGTCCGGAGTGTTTGCAAGAGATTTCCGGACTTCCCTAGGTGAATGTGAGCGTGATCACAAATTCGCACCCCCAACCAACGTGTTGCCGGGTGGGTTGGGCACGTGCGTTTTCCGTGCTTGTAGCCAGTACGGCCAATCTACTCTGTAGCTGGCTTGCCTTGTTGTCAGATGGTATGGGTGAAAGTCTCTCTTGGGGCCCCTTCATTCCCACTAGAGGGACCAAACTCGCACCGAATCGCCTCTAGTTGAAAACATCTAGAGTCATGGGGCCGGGATTGTTCCAGGGCTGCACAGGTCTAGGTGTCAGTGGCTGGGCTGGTCACTGTTGGGTGAGCTGCAGTTCTACATTGTCTTCCAGAGATGGCGGGATCCAAGAACATATTTTAGGGCGTGTCTTCGTTTCAGAGAACGAAAGGTGGGGTGCTCTTCAAGCCGGCTGAGGATGATCCTGGCAAAGGCAAGTTCCAAGCTGTTGGCTGCGCAGCCCGTTCTCGCAGAGGCATGCTTGCAGGGCTGGAAGCGGGGGGGGGGGGGGGACTTGTTAGTTCTGCTTCGCTCTGAAAAGCGGCCAGCCCGATCCATCATTCCCCAGCGACAGCGCCAGCAACGGCAAAAAGAAGAGAAGGTTAGAACAATAGCAGCAACACCAGCACGTACAGTTAACAGCGTCTTGAAAACGCATGGCGTCTTGAAGACGCATGACTCATAGCTGCCATAGCCGTTTGTGCACACTCTTAATTGCGTTTGTGCTTGAAGGGAGGCTCGGCCGAACACTGTGGCAGCTTTTTTTGTTGCTTTTGCCCAAGGCACCCCCTCCCTCACAAACTACTTGCATTCGTGTCAGACAAGCCATAGGGCCTCCCTGCGATTTTTTCGGTGAGGATCTTCTTGAGGATCGGCTTCAGGCAAAAGCGCCCTGCCGGATCTTCGGCGACCTCCACGGCCAGATGCGCGATCTGCTTCTGCTCTTTGCCCGGGCCCGAGAAGGTCCGATCCAGGGCGGGGCGCCCCCGGTCATTTTGGTAGCCTTGCCAAGCTTGGCAAGCCGGCTTGGACGGTTGAAGCAGTTCAACTTTTTTTTTGTGTGCGTGTGTGTGTGTGTGAATGTGTGTGTGTGTGTGTATCTTTTTTTTAAGTCTTTTTCTTCTCTCTTTTTTTTTTGGGGGGGGGGGCGGGGATGGGGCGCATGTTTTTTTTGAGGCTAAGCCTTTGGGAGAGAATGGTGCCGGTTAGGCGGTTCCCAAGCTGCTTGAGTTTTTTTTTTTTGGTTGTTGCAGCCCAAGTAGGCGGAGTGTTTCCTGGGTGCGGGTTAAGGGCTCACTCCCTGAGTTTGAACTTTTTGGGAAGATCATTTGGGTATGGGTTAAAATTAAAGAACCAGGACACCACAGGCTATCCTTGGTTCCATTTGCCAAGGCAAGCCATTTTGGGTACATATTTTTGACCCACAGCCATTTGAGTGGTAAATAACAAGTTTGGGTGTTTTTGGCCCAACCCACGCAGGAAGTGAGAGCTTTCTTGGGCCACATTCTCAGGGGGATGGCAAAAAATCCAGATCCAGTGCCTTGTTGTGGATTCTTGAATTGGGGGCATAAGAAAGTTTGGATGTGGCGAATCTGTGGATCCACCCCTGTAGGAGATATATATATATATATATATACAAATATATATGCTACCCCCCCCCCCCCCAGGGACCTACCTTTTGGTTGCCTCTCCAGTGCATGAATTGCCCATGTAGGACTGGGAGGAACGATCTCTCAACTAGGACCAGGACCAAATGAGACTAGACCCCAGGATCTCTCAACTGGGACTAGGACCAAACTAGGACTAGACGACCCACCTCAGATTCTTCCAAAAAATGAACTTCAAGTATAACTTCCTCTGCAATGTCCTGTATATTTTCTTATTATTGCAGTAAATTAGGGAGCAACCTAACACTAGAACCAAGGATCTCTCATCTAGGACCAAACTAGGACTAGACCATTCAATTCTACTTCTTACAGTATTTGGATGTCAAGTATTACATTCTGGTGGAAGAAAAGTCCTGTTTAGTATTTGGTCCTAACATGTAAATTCTGACTGGATATTCTCCTTATTTCAAATTCAACTGTTCAGCTAGAAGTTGCATAGAACTTGACTAATATATTAACTACAATTCATAACGAACTTCCTTTGTAATGTCCTTTATACGTTCTATGTATTTCAGTAAGCTAGGACCATACTTGGCCTAGAACCAAGGATCTCCCAACTAGGACTAGGACCAAACTAGGACTAGCTAGTTCTGAAAGTGATTGAATTTCTAAATGCTCATTTGAACTTGAACAGGATTTAATTGGGACTCACTACGGAAATATTTGGTCAGAATCCTAATGGTAATCAAATTTGAGATTGCGAGTTTAAATAGAGTTCCTTGCCCAATATATACTTTCAATTCAATATGAGCTTTAACAGGATTTGATAAGGAAAGAACCCATATTCTCTAGACAAGTCTTCTTTGCAAACGCGAGTCCAGGCCCGAGTGAAACCCATTGAGACCGACTGAAATTTCAGTTGAGCCTGG